ATACACTTCAACACATTTGGTGAAAGCCACCCTCAACAACTTTTATCTGTCAGAAAATTGCTGAACTTTGTTACCATTATGGCCTCCATTTTGTCAATAATGGTACAAGTAACCAGCATTCCCCCAATCCTATTGCTTAACCTTCTTGTGACCTAGTCACATTATATCTAACTTTGCATTTCACCACAACCTGTGGTCCCCATACACTGTGACCCTAGTCGACTAGAAGAAATCTGCCAATTTACCTGCTTCCAAATCTGCTCCATGTCGACCCTGATGATGTCATATTCTTTGTACTGCTCACCCCTGCATTGGAAGTGGTCGCTTCTGTAGAAGCTGCCACAAACCCTTTGATCCATTCAAGGGACCAACTGTTGCTGGCTTCCTTGTTTGAAAATGAGTCTCTGGTTGGGTCCACTCCCTGAGTAGGGGTGGAATTTTCGTCAGTCTTCAACATCCCAGAAACAGGTTGTTCTGAAGACCGACTATTTTTAGTTCTTTCGACTGACCTCTGTCCCTTTATGTTTCTTAGAAACCCTAGCGATGAGGTCATGGTCCCACTTGAGGCGGGCTCTTCCGGCTTCTGTGTCCCCTCCCAGTTTTTCCAGAGCAAGCTGGCTGTTCCTTTGAGCCAACTCCCTCCCACTGAGGTGTGGCTCTGTGTCAAGAGTGTACTGCTGTTGGGCTTGCCGCCGTACCGATCCATCAGCTGTTGCTTCTCCCTCTGCTGGTTGAGCTCGTGCACCAGGCCCTGGTGCTCAAATTTGTAGTCCAGGTCAAAGGGGAGAAGCGTGAGTGGTTGAATGGCAATCAAGAGCCGATCAAAGAAAGCCTTGGTGGCACCGTTGCAAAGACTCAAGAACGCATTTGGCTCGTAGAGGTTCCTGACGATATCTGCAGTACCGGTAACAAAGATTACATTGGAGCTTATGCATACAACACAGTTTGGCAGTTTCTCACTGCTGTCCCTGTCTAACTGATCAATTGCCAGTGATGTGACTGATGAATCAAACAGAGAGACCTGACATTACAGGTTTACAAAGCAGCAGCTTTAAAGGGCCAACCCATTGTCAATTTTGTCAAACAAAACAACGGAGCAGCTTTAAAGGGCCAACCCGCCTCAACTTTGTCAAACAAAAGCAGTATGAGCGCGTAAGTGACTAGATTTAGATTTCACATAACTGAGTGTGCCACTTTCATCTAAAGCAGACCCTCAAAACATTTGGTGATACTGGCAGAAAATAATGCTTTTATTGTCGAGTCACAAACCAAAGTATATTTCATGTAAATCTATTCAGGGACATCTTGTACTACAGAGATGTCCTTGAACAAGGCAATATGAAACCCGGCAGAAAGCCATGCAGGTTTAGATTTCACCCTTTACACCCATGCTCCACTCCAAAATAATTAACATTAAAATACCTTTCTTTAGTGGAAATCAAAATAAGCCCTTGTTGAGAATTCACTCCCTGGAATAACATGTGCATTAGAAGCTGGGAAAGTTGTAATAGTACTAAGCTCAAATTTGCAGGGAATTGACAACTTCAGGAAAAGAGTAATTCCTATCATAGTTTTTGTACCCTACTCTAAATGTTCGTGTCTAAAAAGGGAATTAAAGTCTGAGGCAGGAAACTAAGGGGGTAGGCTGCTTTAAGCCGCCTCCTTGGCCCTACACAATTGTGATGGATGAGTCAACCCCCCATCCTCGGCAGCCGTTTCCTGATTGAATCTTCCCTGGTAGCTGGGCCCGCCCTCCAGCCTGACCTCTGCCAGGATGTGATAAGCCGTCTGCGTTCCGTTAAAATGCAAACACCCAAGCAAGACCTGGATCGACTGTGGCATGGAGAGGAAGGCTCATCTTGTTGACTGCATAACAAAAGACTCAATAACATGGTGGAATTCCTCCATCGGCACCAACAGTGTTTTCAAACAAGGCTACCGGTAACTCAAAACCGACATGTTCAACTAGAGCAAAACCTCATTTACAGGGACTGTTGACATGAACATGTACCTTAGGTTACAAGCGGAGGTTCCAATGAACTCCCTTTGGGAGCCACATAGCCTAAAAAAAGACTGCTACTTTTAGCACTTCATGGTCATATTGGTCTGGTTCCCGGAAAGCGAGGCTGTCTAAACACTGCTTGTTTATAGATAAGCTTGTGATATTTATTCAAGTGCCTGCCTTGTACTGGGAGTTCTTTTTCAATGACAAAGACAAGACAAATATCGGATCTATTTCATTACGAGCACACAGTACCTGGATGGTCTCTGATATGCTCCAGCCACAACTCCAGGCATCGGATGCTGTAACGAGCAAACAAGAAATGAATGAGTGGATAACGGGTAACACTATATCCTACAGAGTCGAAAACCACAACTGGGGGGCTGCCAAAAAAACAGGGTTTCTGACAAGCTAAGCTGTTAAATAGGGAAATAATAAATTTAAATCGAAGTTTCTATGACATTTTCGGATAACTGAATTACAGTGTCCCCTTATATCTTCCAATTTGATTGAAGAGAATCATAACTTTGAGGTTGACCTTGATGTACATGTACGTCATCTCTAAGCCAGTGCAAAGAGTTCAAAAAAAGTCTTTAAAAGGATACTTGAAATTAAGCCACTTTCACTGAGACACACACACATGTACCTTTCCAACTCCACAGCTATTATTTATATCATCTTATTAAGTTCTGAGAATTCTACTCAAGCAATATCCTATTGACCTAAACCTTTTCGGCATGTAAACGAAAAACATTCATAGTACATGTATCTTCCCATGTTCAACGTGAAAAGCTGTTTGGTTCTGGGGACACCAAAATGTGATATTTTTCCCCCGAATAAAAAGAAGCTGGTTCCACCCGTGTTTTAATAGATTCAAAGGTCACTATGGTGAAATGAATTTTTCCCAAGCAAAGCAAAATTTAATTTTTAATTTCACTGTAGCGAAATTCAGACTTCTGCCTAAAAGAAAAATACATGTGCCTGGTAACCAGAAGATTGCCCTTATAAATGAATGTTCTGCAGAAGACAAGTAAGATCTTTTGTTTCATTTTTGCTTAATTTCGTCTTGTGAACACTCCATGAAGTACCAACATTCACCCTCAAGGTATCTACATGTACTGTACCAGTGACATCCATGCAGCCCAACCTACATGTACATAAATACACATATATTACAATTTGGGAAAACACTACATCCAATTTCTGTGAACCTGAAGTTGTCAGGCTGAACCAAGCAGAGTTGGCCTTGAGCTGGAAGCTCGTGACAAATTCCAGGTCACTTCGATGGGACCAAGGAACTTGCAGGAAGCTCTCAGAAAGTAAAGCAGCTCCCATAAGACAGTGAGGACGGAAGCCAGGGGCAGGTCTGGGAAAAGGAAATGGCACATCGAGTGGCAGAGGGGAAAGGGAGGACAGTGAAGTAAAAGGGGAGGGGATGAATGGCTCTTTAACGGGCCGTTGGCTTAATCTGAGGACATGTACACAGAGGGAAGGGGTGTGGAAGACAGATGTCAACACCTCGTTAGATGGACAGGGGAAGGAGAGGGTTTGGACTCTGTGCCAGTAAGACCTCACTATAATGATAAAGACTGGACAAACACCTGACCACAGCGTGCATGCTGCCTATGCAAAATCCTTATGAGCCATTTAGATGAATATGCTTGTTCTGTTTAGTTTTATTTTACTATTTATATTCATGTAGAGAAGTACATGAGAAGAAGTGCTCTGTACTGTCTCCTCTCTACAGGTTTCTTCAGGCTTACAAGCTACAGTGCCTGGGGTGCTTTAGGGGGGATGTTGACACCTTCTTGAAAGGAAAGCTCAAGGACCACGTACAAACCAGTGCAGAGTTAATCTGACAAAGCCTAGTCAAGGGACTTTTAAAGATCTTGCATGATGGACAGGACAATTTCAGGTCACTGATGTGAACAGGAAGGGTGGGAAATTACTTATGAGCCGTGGTTAAGAAATATAACGTTGAAAAGTAATGCTGGGGAAAGTGAACTCACTTGAGGAGTCCCATGATGAAAGCATTGACTCTAAGGTCTGACGTCTTCAAGTATGCCAGCTGGGACAGCTGCCGGACAAGCTCATGCAAGGGCCTCGTACCGGGTCCTGACCAAAAAAGGAAAAAGGTATTCAGATTATTTAGTACAATCCTAAATGCCATGGGCATAATTTGCTGAGATGTTGCTCACATTGCAACTTGCAGAATTACTTGGCAGTGAACAAATGGTACATTCTACATGTGCGTGTGTGTCCCTTCAGAAGTCAAAGTCCAAGCTCAAAAAGACGTTGTTAAATCCATTTTTCAAAATTTTGATAGGAAGTAACAAAGCTCTAATGTGCAAGCCTGGTTATTTTAGCAAGGCGATCATTTCACCTGAAGAGGGGCATAAACACTAGATCAGTTCTCAGAAACTTACAACACACACAAAAGACACACGCACAGTGCATCTTCAGTTGGTACATGTATATTACAGCTCTGCAGTTAATTTTTCTGTTCGGGATAACTTGATAGTTGGGAGACACCTCAAACTTCTAAGAATATATGAGTGCATATAGCTGGAAAGGTTGAGTTACTACATGTAGCTTGATGTTGAGGGGAAAAATATTTACCAAGCTGAGTGGTTGCCTCCACGACACCCCACAGTGTTGTCTTCAAGCGTCCAACAAAGAAGCTGGTCACGTGCGGCTGTAGTCCATCCAGCAATAAGGCTCTAATGGCCGGACACAGGTAGTGGAGCATCAGATGGCCAATATCTGGAGTAAGGGCTGTGCTGCCCAGACGGCCCTATGAAAGTAATGGCAAGCACCATCCACATGTAATTCAACACCTAGAAGCTTCTTCCCAACTTCTTATACCTTGTTAAATGTTTCCCGCTGAAAGAACATTTCTAAACAATGCAGAAACTTGTACTCAGTGGTTCTGTTCAGCTCATTCATCACGGCACTTTGAGCGAACCCATCATCAGACTTGCAAAATGTCGGCATTGGATTTCTGCAGCACGGTACATCGGAGCATCAACTTAATGATTTCACTAACAAACTTCAGGTGCCTGCCAAAATTCAGAATAGGCCAATGTGGTAAAGCAGCAACACACTCTAAGTAATGTCAAGACAGAATCTGATGCATTAAAGTGACCATGACTGCTTTCAATTCACTGCGATCAAAAGCAAACTAGTTATTGGCATCTGTCACATTGTAATACTCCGGGATATTTTTAGGCCCACAGTACAAGCATTCTAGCCCATTGGCTGACGTCCTATCCAAACTCAAAACCCTTGAGAAGATGAATATTTTCCATTTACCTTCTCCTCCAAGCTCTTTGTCTTTGCCTGGCCAAAGTGGCTCAGTATGTGTTCAACAGCGCCCTCGACTGCCGTCACAAGAGCTGCATGTAACAACACCACCAGAGACAAAATAAAGATTCATCAAGAAAAATTTATCAATTCATTCAAAACGAACACTGACTATAGCTGAATTCAATTAAGCAACTTGAGAGTACCGGTACTTGGCTGATATAGTGCTTAACTTTCCAATCTTGTGTTCTCAGTCTTCAAAATCCCAATTATTTTTAATTGGAACTGTGTAACCCTCAAGAACTGAAAAGAGAGCGAGTAGGTGCCGGTAGAAGTCCGTGCTTTCAAAGCTTTACAAATGGCAAAAAGTATGAGAAATGTGTTCTCGGGCTGAACAGGCCTTTTCAAACTCTTTAAATGACACGTACTGTTTAAGGGAGGAGGGGAAGACACTGGATTCAGGTTTGGTAACTTCCCTCAGTTCAACTGATATTAATTCTATTCTCCTCCTTCCTCCTGGTGTGTGAGGAATTATACCAAAGTTAGAGGATTCAGCATTTAATGTGTACAGTTTGATTTACCTTTATGAATTTGAAATGACACTTCCTAAATGCTTACTCATGCACATAAAATACAAAATTTTAATAACTATCAGCAGGCAAGTTGATTACAAAACTTCGTAAGGGTTTATATTCAGATACAAAAAAAGCAGTATTAAGAAATCACCTTTCTTTTGTACCAAATCAACTTCTTCTTTGGCTTCTCGGGGAGAAACTTGCATCTCCTGCGGAGGCAGGCAGTCAGCACCAACATCGTAATCACTGGACACATCAAGACTGAGAGGGCGCCCCTTCAAACTTGTGCCATTTGCGTCCAGCTGGAACTCGTCAATGCTGTGCCTCTCTGCCCCAGATTCCCATGACAAGATGCGCTTGATTGGCTGGCCAGCGGTACTCACGCCAGCGGACGACAGGGGTTGTGACTGGCCAGGCTGTGGGTTGGATGCAGCGGTGCCCCAGCTGCGGTACTGGCTGAGGTCGGCCGGGAGGGAGTTGACGCGGTCAGCCCTGGAGTGCATGGAATCCTGTAGGCCTGGCCAGGCAATAACAGTGGGTGGCAAAGGGGCCACTGGCTGGTCAGCATTGCCGCAAAGCTTCTGCAGTACTGGGGTATAGAGAAATATCGACAAATGGTTAAAAATCTGTTGAACCTGCTGTCAGATAGATTTGGATGTCTCAAGAAAACCAGTGCCATTTCCCACACCTAAGGTTGTCTTTCTATAATTTTGGTTTTTGGCCTGTTCCTTATTCACATTTATTTACCATGTAAATAAATTTGCTCCTATCCAATGAACCCTGTGAGCCACTCATGCACATGGACAAGAAGCATGATAATGTGAAATTTATCAAAAGGCACCTTTAATCTTAAATTTGACCCTACTTCGGCTTGCACCTGAGGCTCCAATATCAGTTTTCGAAATGTCGGCACCAGATGAAAATGCTGCAAACTTTGTTCTCCCAAACTAAAAAATCAGGCAGTCTGGTGCTCCTGGACCATCACAAAACAATCCCCTTCCTTCTTCCCCACCCAAATCTTTACATGAAGAAAAATGATCTGAGATCAGGAAGGGTATGGTTCAACACATTCATTGCAATTGCGCAATCAAAGTATACATGTCCATGTACATGTAATTGTATACATGTGCTGCACATGGATATTTGGGCGAATGGATGAGCTCCCTAAATTAAGAAAGTCCCCCAAAATGAGGGTGGAGCAAATGACAACCACACGCTTCAAATGGCATTATCACTTTGACTGCTTTTCACCACACACTCATCGGAGCATGATCAGGGCATTAACTGCACATGGGCCTGCACTTAATTGTGTGGATCGGGTTTTAATTGGATTTTTCCGGTGCCCCTTAGTGAGGTTAGATCGTGACTTCATCCCGTTAATGCAATGAATCCATCGATTCTGCAGATACGACTACCTTGAGGGGGCCGTTAAACAATTCATGACCTGGGGCTGTATTTCGATCCCATATCAAAACGCCAATACCTGCTCATGCATGAGTGAATGTAGGACATACATGTGCAGTGTATTACGATGGCTCGTGGGCTACTGTGTGACCACCGATGTGGGACAAAATATCGCTCATGCACGAAAACATCAACACAGCACTAATCTAGGACAAACATCAGGCAATGCAGCCATCCATGCACACACTGCTACCATTTATGACCAATTAAAAACAATATAAAGGTTACCCAGCTGTTTGAATTAAGTGAATTTGAAACTTGAAAATTTGAAACAATGTTACACATTGTACAAACATGTTCCACTGATATCATCCACAGTGAAACTGAACCAAAAGGATAGAGGTGTAAAACTTCAAAGATGTACATGTACATGTGAATTAAGCTTTCACAATTAAAAACAAACTGCATACTTTAATTATCAATCCTAATGACTTAAACGCTGTAAATTTTAGCCAAATGATTCGTGAAAATGTAAAAGTATCGGTACATGTGTCTCTCATTCAGTCTTTACCATTCCTCTTGATTGAAAAGGCAGTGCAACATGTACATGTATCAGTTAATACACACACAAAATGTGTAATAAAAATAATTAGTTATAAAAGGTACAGGGGAAAATGATGACCATCACATTTTAAGTTCAACGCTGATAAAAAAACACAAGTAAAAGCAACGACTGCAACAGACATTCCTGTCTGAAAATAATTCACACCCGCAAAATCAATGTTTAATCTTTGTCCTGTTATGCGCAAACACGTAATGGGAAATAGTTTCTTCAATTTTTGTTTCCACTACACACATATATTAGCATCTTTCATGTTTGAAATGAGGCCTGTTCTCTTGACGGATCCCCAAAACCATTACCAGTGTTAAAATATACCCACAAGTCTGCCAAAACCAAATGACAAACTCCAAACCAGTTGCATAGAAAACAACGTTTTTTATTAGTGTGGCCAGCCCAGACTACTCTGTTTAGACAGCATTCCAGGAGGTGCAGAGAGTGAGTGAGATGCCTGCATCTCCTCACATCCCCAGCGGGTCGCATAATTTAGCAGCAATGACGCATTTCATTCCAAGTGGGTAGAGGCAGCATTGCACAATGAGCAGGGAGGTGTAATTCGTCAATCGATGTGAATCTTATTACATGTCTTGCTAGCAAGCCACTGCAATTATTTATGTTTGATAATGAGCTCCAGATAATATTAAATGCAGGCCTACCGGTGAGTTCATTTTGTCCAGGTTTACATGTAATTTAAAAACTGAACTGACATGTAACCTGGATGAAACAAACACATATCAACTATTTCTGGTTCACTTCGGAGGTGTTTGTTCTCAGTAGTGCGATAATTAAGTCAATATTCCTTGACACAGTTTTAAATGTCCTTATTTACCATTGAAATCACATGTATGACACAGAGAGGGAAATGACATTATTTTACGTAAACGTGATTACCATTTTGCTCTTCACAGTACGCACGTGCATTTGTACATGTACAAACATCTACGTGTAATTTAGAAATACTGTTGACATAACATTTTGCCTGGCTCCTTCAGTTTGTGACATTCAATCAATAAAATAATTAGCAAGGCAGACTGAAATTGTCAGAGCCAATTAACAACAACTGATCAATAAGAGTGCATTAGTGCATACACACAACCAGAACTGAGTATATTACGTGTAAATGTACTCCCTAGTACTTTTCACCACTCCAAATTAAAACTTGACTCCTACAGGTGAGACAATTTGGTGATGCTGCAGTGTTAAACATTCAAAGCCAGAGTACACGTAAAGCCAGAGTGCATGTCTGTCACTTTACCAGGCAGCGGTTTCCTTGAAGATTTTCCTTCTTTTCAACAAATGTTACTTCGATCAGAACTCAGTTATTTTCAGATTTTCTTCCTCTTGTGATCCCACATGTAGTAATGATGAAGCAGAAATTCTGGCAAGGTGCCATTGTGTGGCCGAGTTGCATGAATAAGGGGGCAGGATGTTCTAATTATGTGTGCCAGACTGCCTGCCACCCTGTTTGCATCCAATAGCTGTTATTGCCAAGCTAGGGGTGGGGCTATGCAGGGATTAAGGAGGCATAGTTGAAACAGTTAAAGAGAGTAATTCAGTTGATGGCTAATGATAATATAACGAAGAGTTAAAGTAATCCTCCCACGCAGCTCGGGCCTTCCTTCATAGACCTGTCATTTTAGAAGAGCTGTTATCTGACGGCAAATTTGCAAGATTTCTTATTCAATGCATAATCTTTCAGCAGGTGTGCTTTTTTCCCGCAACTTAAGCAACTTATCCTCATTGCTCAGTAACTCAAGAAAATTGACCTAATGGATGTGCTACATGTAGTGTATATCACATTCACTGTAGGCCTACTGGAAACACAGCAGTAGCTTTGCGCAATTTGCAGATCACTGCGAAATGTTGAGCTTGCCGATCTAAATCATGCAAACAAACAGTAGAGAACTTTGCCACTGCAGGAAGTTGTTTGGCATACTCTCACAAATACCAGCGATTCATTTTACTGTCAGGAAAAATACCTTCAGGAGGCACAGGGTACGAAGGTGAAATTGTCTTGTCCTTAAAAGCAGGTGAATATGTTCTTTATTTTTGTGAGAAATTTATCTACTTAGGTGTCTACTTCAGATGTGAACAAAAATTGATTTCAATCGGTTAATTACTGTTCAGGAATTCAAGGTCATCAAACTTTGTGCATGAGCCTATGAATCCTCCCAAAGGTACCATTTGGGGGTGTAAATTATCATATTCCTAAAGACTTGACGCTTTTCCTTTTTTTAAACTGGATAACAACAAGCAACATCCTTGACCTTCCCTGGACTATTTTGGAAATCTCTCAAGACTGCTGTGTAATAACGCTATTCCCCGTTCAGCATTTCAGACAGTTTGATGATCAAACTGTCTGATACTTGGCACTTATCAAGATCACCTGTCATGAGCAACCTGACAGTCAGATTCCTTGAACTTCAAGTATGCACCCCACAGGTAAAAGCACCCAACATCTTGACCATGATTTATTCAACGTACATGTATGACCAGTCTGCAGGGAATCATTCATGTGGAGCTGCTTGCGTATCAGTATGAAGCAGTTTAAGGAGAGCTTTCACACATATGATGAGACTAAAGGCTGGTTCATAATTCAGGCAAATTTGAAACAGAAACAACGTTGAATTTATTTTCCATTTGCAACGAAATTTGCTTGAGCTGAAATGCGTTCACTTTTTGTAAATACACTGCATGCATATACATGTACATGTACACTGTACATGTATGATCTGATGTCACCAAATTGCATTCATGTTTGTGGACAAACCTTTACAAGTGAGAGTACATATGTACAGGTACATGCATCATGTCTACTAGATATGGTATAACATGGAGATACATGTAACTACATGTATGAATGTACATGTACGAGTACTGTATTCATATGTAATAAGAAATCCCTCTCCTGTGTCATCTTACGCTGGTTAACTCATTCAGTGAGCACATTCATGCACATGCATATCAGCGTAGGTGTGCACATCTACGGTACAGCACAGGCACTGGCAGGGACCAGGTGTCAGTGATCCAACCTCAGAACACCGATAGCGATCTGGATCCATGTGAAACAAACAGGCCCAACACCACCCCCGAAATAAAAATAATTCACAAGTCCAGAATAAGACATGACAGAGCTGAGGAAAGAGAATGGCACTGATCAATGAAAGACACTTTGGTCAAATCCGGTCAAAGAGAACATGATTTTAACTAGTTTAAGATGTGTCAGGGGAAACCATGATTACATCTGCAATATGGCCTTCATTAATCTTTGGGCCATAGTTTAAGTCACTTCAAATTTTTTTTCCGGTGTGAGGGGTGGGGGGGGGACAAAATTCCAAATGCATGACTTCTATAAATAGCCAACTCTGATGAGATCAAAAACACTGATGATCTTGACTCAATTTGTATTTTCAGTGTTAAGCCAAAGACTAATTCATCTTTCCTCTCTGTAAGAAAGTAGACAGGATTATAGAATCCACAGGCCTGATTCGGTCCTCAATTCTAGCTCGACTGCACCCCATCCCCCCTTCCCCTTTCCTTTCGGGACATTAGTCACTGGCACGTTCTTCCTGTCAAACCGATAAACAAGATTCAAACAAATTAAAGCTGAGCCAATCGGAGCGGCCACAGGGACATCTCATGGGCCCCCTCCTGGGTCACCTGTGCTGGGGCACTGACAGGGGTTTGTTAGGGATTGTGTTGGGCTTGGCTAAATTTACTCTCCCCACTCAAAATAGTCCACCTAAAATGCAAGCTACATGTACATGAAGCAGCAACGCTCTACATGAAGCAGTAACGCTCGTGTAGCTGGGTTGGGTATGACAAACGGGATAAAAAAATCTCAATGAAAATTAAGAAATAAGAGTAAAAGGACAATGAACTTTAAACATCAAGCAGGAATCTTATAATCCTGCCAACTTTGAAAAAAAAAATCTACCTGGCCTAAATTATTTTAAATGTATCAAATGACATGCATCATTGTAGAGCACATGTAATGTATACCGGTGCGTGTAAATCAGGTACATAATTTACACGTGCATTTCCATGTTTACATGTACAAATCCTCAAAAAGCATGCATGCTAATACACAGTGTGAACAAGAGCAGACAGCTTGCACTTTATTAATCCTAATTATGGAATAACATCTTAGGAACCTTTCTACATTAGTGCAAGTGCCAAACTTTGAAGTAAGCCAAGTGGCACATGCACTGAAAACAGACCTTGGCCATGACAGCATCAAGTTCTATAAAAAGTAATAGAAGGGCTGTAAAGTTCTAAATTTGTCTATAATGCTGCTGAGCTTGGGTGAGGATTTCGACGATGCAATATACATGTACTTACACACTTACATATGACAAATGAAATCACAGCACAAATGTACACAATCACTATGTTCAGAAATGTTCCACTATTGAAAATTAAGCACAAGTGTCTGGCTAACATCACTGATGCAGTTTTAATTAGTTCTGGTCATCCAAATATGTTACTGCATTCACGTTTTGAACAAAACAACATTGGCTAAAGTTCAAAACAATGTACAAATTCTGATAAGCATGCAAATCAAAATGTCAGTAAAGAAAAAAAAGTAACAAGATTACATATTGGCTCTCAAGACTTTTTTGCATTATAACATGCTTGATGAAACACTTACACTTTACGCCACGATCACGAATATCACTGCCCACACGAACAATATCATGCCAACCTTTTCTCTGCTGATGTTCTGCATCGACCTGGTGGATGGGCTTCAGGGGCCGATGACGGATGTACTTCTTGTCGGCTGAGGCAGGCAGCGTGGAAGCCCCGACATTCTGGATCCGGACCACACGGTTGGTCAAGGCATCTGCAACGTGCGACTCCTCGCACGTGACAATGGTCCGACTTCCGCGTCGTCCCTTGCCACCCACCCGCCAGGACTGGACGCTGGTTTCTGTGGGCACAGCCTTTTTGGTGCAGTCCTTCCCCTGTCTCACTTTTGGCTTGCTTTTTCTTCCTGCTTTCGATCCCTGGACACTCTTTTCCAAGGTTCGTTTGTCCAATCTGCTTTGATCCTTAGCATCTTGACAGAGCCCCACCTGTGAACCTTTATCCAATGACTCTCCTTTGACAATTTTTGAGATGTTCCCACTCTCAGAGCGGTCTCCAGAATCCAACAAACACCTACTGGGCAGATCTGATTGGCTGCTTTGATCACGCAACTCCAGGGTCTGTGTTGACTGATTGATATCAGCAATGTGGTGATAGTTTTTAGCACAGGGGCAAAAGCATCCCCCCTTCCCATTTAACGTTTCATCGGTGCTCACTCCGACGTCCTTGCATTCTTTGGTTTGGTCTTTGGCCATCAGTTCATTCTCCTTGTACGTCCTCGGATACATTCTCAAGAAACTTGTTGGGTCCACCTCAGGAGGGCTGTTGGTGCTGCAACCTCGAGAGCAAGTCTGCAACTCTTTGGCCTTCTTTTGTAGTGGCCTGACCTCCTCTTGGGTGATGAGGTTGAGAGTTCTTGGGGGTATCACTGTTCTCCGGTTTGTGTCCAGCCAAGTGGTCCTTGGCCCTGGGACCCAATCGGCTGACGATTCCACCCCAAGGTTGGACCGGAAATGCAACCTATCCTGGAGAGGGTTCCCTAATATGACGCGGCTGGAAGTGGGGCTTTCCCTATGGAGGTTTCCAGTCTCCGATGTGATTTCTTGGGGGATAAAATGATGGTGCTCTGGAATGAAGGTATCTTGCTCCTGGGGCTCAGTGAAGTTGGCATTGATATCCATGGCAAAGATCCGTGCCCTCGTTGCTCGCACTGGCATCTGTGCATTACTGTCATAACCTAATGGGTAACTCAGGTCCCTCATTCCATGCCCACTGTCCTGCATACTGCTGTTGATCAACGGACTACCGGCAGCCATCTTTGGGTCTGTACTCCCCTCACAGCCTATTGTAGGATCAAGCTGTGGGGTTGTGTGGTAATGTTGATTGTAGTGCCGCTTGCGCGTCAACAGAGAGACACTGCTGGTGCTCTGCGAGGCTGCAGGGACAACCCAAGATGCTGGAAGCGAAGCATAAACAGAAACTGAACATGTGAAAATTAAGTAAGTTCAGATGGTTCCAAGCAGGGCTTGGCTTTGGGGTTTAGAGTAAAGTTTGGAGTAAGGAGAGAATACATGTACATATCAAATACAGAGCTTTAGGGCAACAAAACATTCTATTACACCATGAAAGTGGACAGAGTTATATGTAATAATAGAAACTTACTCATTTTTGTCAAAGATAAATCCTGTCCAGATCCAGCCGACCTTGGGAAGCTGCATGCAAATCCCTCCGGTGCACTCACAGTCCTTGTGACCCCCTTGATGCCAGCAGGTGCCCCTCCAGTATTCCCTTGCTGGCTTTGCTCCGGGGTCTGCTGAGGTCGGCTGGAGGGCTTCTGTATGTGCCTCAGCTGGATTGGAAGGGAGTGGGGCCTCTTGGATTTATTCCCAGCCTCACACTTGGAAGAACTGATTGGGCTGGTGTGGGGCTGTAAGCAGGATTCCTCTTTCGGAAGTCCCAAGGTTACAAGCTCAGTCCAGTGGGTGACCTCTGAGGGTAACACCTGCGAGGTTGTGACTTCGGGCTTCTTCTTTTTCTTGGCAAGTGAGGCAAAGGTGACCTTTTGGGATGTATCATTGGAACATGTGTCCTCTTTATGTATGACTTCGTATCGATATGTATCCAGAGTCAGTGGCTGAGGGTTGTACTGTGGTTGTAGGGCGAGCCAGAGATTTTTTTGGCTTCCCGTGATGGAGTCGCAACTTGCAACATCGGTGGGGCTTTCCCCAGACCCATCGGGGCTGCTGCGCCGCTTCTGGCTCAGCACCTTCTGGAGTTTGGGGGAGGTACGATTCAGGCTTTCCAAGGAGGAGCCCACAGAGCTCCCCTCACTCTGCCCGCGCTCCAACTGCAGCCGGTCCATCTCCGCTGCAACCTCGAAGCTCTTGTACAGCAAGTCATAACTGTCAGGACTCGAGGAGAGCTCGGAGCGGTGGATGGACGGTGCAGAGGCAAGGCTCCCTGAAGACTTTGAACTGGGGGTGTCCAAATCTCTCACCAGATCATTGGTGGATACCCGCTCCTTCTTCCAACTGCAGGGGGTATCAACAGACTCTCTGACGTGATTGGTCGGTGGGGAATCTTTCAAGTGGAGGTCTAAACCTCCATAGTCATGTTTGTTTTCATAGGACGGATCATTTATGACTCCGTCGCAGCCAGACGGCTCTGAGCGCAACTCCTTCACAAGCTGCAGACATGTCTGGCTGATCTCTTCCGTTAGCTCACCTGCCCCGCTGAATGGCACACGGTGCACCCAGCACTCAAAGTTGGTGGTCTTGCCGCAGGTGCAGGTAGCCACTGGCGTCTTGTCCTGGTCCTCTAGGACAGCCATCTCACCTGGCACTGACTCCATGTAGTTCTCGTTGAGGCTATCCAGGCTCATTGTGGACGCACCCCGCTTCAGTCGATCCCAAGGTAAGGGCTTGCTCAAATCCAGGAGGTCGTTGGTCATCTCGATCGACTCACCCATTGCTCGAAAACCCTGCAGAGAATTGCACGGCAAAGAGGAGGTCATGGGCAAGTCTCTGTGCATCTCGTCTCGGTGGTACTCCCCGAGCATTGCAGACAGACTCATCCGCTTCAGATGCTCGATTCTTGGCGGGCTGCTCGGGAGGGACCTTGTGGGAGGGGGAAGACAAGTTACACCCATCCCCCTCCCGGACACCTCCCACTTTTGGTCATTGTTGATCGCTGGCATAGTTGGGCACACATATAGACAGACACCCACAAAGAAGGATGAAAATACTGCCTACGGCATGGCTGTATTCTACTGTGATCACACCTGTGTTTCAAAAGCACAAGTAAAAATAAGATTTAAACAAAAACTGACATGATGTTTCAACGGCACAATATACCTTTTTCACCCACATGACTGGATTGTGCTAAATGTAAACAATACCACTACGTGTGGACTGCTGTGGCCACGTTGATCGCATATTCCTATAGGCAGCTTCAACCACATACATGTACATGTACAAACTGCACGTGGGAATGCTGCATGTTTGACTAGTTTATCTTGAATATGTAGATTACCATCACAACACTATGCACTCAATACCATCACAACACACTGCAGTCCAGCACAACTGTGACATTACAGGAAAAAGGTCAACTGTACAGCCACCCCCCCAAAACACATACATACAATATTCATGTAACTTTAGGCCTATGACGTAATACTCACAAACCTACTCATTTAAAGGCATGCATATCCATTTGTGTTTCTGCAGAAACATGATTTTATTCTTTTTGGTCAAAATGCCCAAGTCAGGCAACAATAATTAAAATAGTTTCAAAGTAAGAGAATGTCAAATCTGGTACCCCGGTACATATACATGTATATGTATACATGTACTGTATATGCAGTGCTTCACAACAGAGCTTTTAAGATTATTATGGAGACATATCTGAGTCTGTTGTTTCATATACATGTACTGGTACATGTACTTGTACAACTTTCCTCTAATAGTTCCCCTTTTCAAACAAAAGTGGACAAAGAACTTGATTGACCACAGTGATTAAAACAGTGAAGATTAATACTTAATACTTTCTAATTACACTTTCTAACCTACAAGACGTGTTTTCCCAAAATAATACAAAATGAACCATGTACAGAAATTCATGTTTCATTGACAGACTGACAGATGGTTTTATGCACGAACAATCTGATGGAGAAGTCTACAAAGTCCAAAGATATTAACCAGAATTGATTCAGAATTATTCTTCATCAAGTGAGCACAAGGAAACAAAAACATATCCTCACCTTTGAAAACTTCACTCCTGGTAAATCTGCAGGGACCAAGAGACACGGTACATTCAGATTATCCATCCAAAAAGATCTCACAACATGGCGGCGAGAAAAACAGTAGATTTCATCAACGCAGCAAGAAATGTTGCGGCGCTGTGACGACGGCCCACGTACGTGCACAGCGTACACACGCACGTTCAGCCGCTGCTCAAGCTCTCCAGCGCTGACTCAGTGTCCTTCTGCTTGCCTCAACCAAAAAAGAAGAGCCCCGCAGAGGAATGGCATTTGCATAATTACATTATGCCCCGGTGGCCACTCTGATAAAAAGTCTCGTTTGACTTTGATCCCAAGTAGGGGAAATAACATAGTCAGTGACCCAATCAAAGTGAACGGCATGTGCATGTATATGGGCATAATTCAGACTACATGTACATGTATATGGGCATTATTCTGACTACATGTACATGTAGATGGGCATTATTCAGACTACATGTACA